TTACTGTATAAGCTTAGATGTGTCTATGTAAGTATGTATATTTACAACGAATTATGAATAAATATCATGTCATTTGGAACACAATAACACCATGAATCAAATCTAATCAATGGGATATTCCACAATGGGATATTCCATCAAGAAGCTCAAGAGACCCATTTTCTAATTCATCTTGGAATTATTCGCAAACTATCATGTAGGTAGCTCTTATGGTAGTGTGGGTTTGAAATCAAGTGCGCGATACCGGCCCAAGGGACAGAGATCTTGTCCGGAAAACCGTTAGAGGCATTCTGGATTTAGCAAGAACACATGTAGCACTACAGTCTAGCGTCGGAACCTGAAGTAGGTTCATCCTTTACTTTCCGGTCGCTTCCCTTGCGTTCTTGAAACCATGTCGAACCGCTATGGGATGAGGCGTTTAAAGCTGCTCGCTCTTCCACCTGTAATTCTGCAGATTGCCAAGTTTGAAGAAAGTGGTGTTGGTTCAGCTTCATACTTCTCGTCCTCCACCTCCCTCATGAGACCAATAGAGAAGCACTTTTGCTCGATGCAGTCACAAGTTGCGGCACTAAAAGCGTTCATGTTTATCCGAATGAAGCATTTATTCATGCTGGAGGAGGAGGGGGGTGTTATTGAGGACGACATCAGAGAGGGTCGCAAAATTAATATTCAATCAGATGGGGCGCTCAAAACTGTTTGACCACTTCTACTGGTGAATTTTCACGCTGCCGAAATTACAAGGGAGGCCGTTCGGGGTGTGAAGCGCTTTTTCAGAACGCATTTCTGCATTTTATAAGAACGCATATGTGAACTGCAAGACCGAGGTCCATTTTCGCTAAGGGGCCCATGAAGGCTAAAAAGTGGTGAAGATGTGGTTTGAAGTTAAATCCTCGCGATGAGAAAATTTTGAAGGCTCTAATTTGCACGCACGGCGCCAGCCCCGATAGTAGGTATTATATTAATTATCAGGGCCATCAGCACCACTTGCATTCAGATTTTGATACAATCTTCACCAGTATCTTTCAGTTTGTGCTTAAGTCCTTAGCTGTTATATGCATTACTCTGTTTTATTTGTCCCCACTGCGCCGTCGCCCCTAGACCGAGGGAACATTTCGAGTTAGAGATATCTGGTTTTTTTCGCTCTCCTTTTGTCCTTGATCATTCTATTAGAACAACCCACTCGGTTGTGGGAACAGCGCAAAGGTTAGGTTCAAAATAAAGGACCGGAACGTCATTCCAAAGCTGTAAGAACCATCCATTCTTAACAATTTTTTCCCACTCTTTTTTGGCCCCCAGAGGGTCACTCAGCGAAAATGAGACACATCATTGTACTATGGTTCACGTAAAAATCCACAGCACACAGAAAACGTTTTGAAAAAAGCGCTCCACATCCTAAACGACCTCTCTTGTTAACGACAAATAGACGGATCAACAAACAGACAAACAGAGGGACAGATAGACACACCTGACAAGTTACTTTTCAGTTTTAGTTAAAAACATACTCTTTGCGGAAATATAATACAATATAATAAATGTTTATTCAAAATTTGTACAGATCATACAAGACCCATCTTTTTGATTAGCACCATCAGCGTTCCAATGTTCGGCGCCATGAAAAGAACCTGAAAATGGTAATATTTTCGACTGTATCTTGTTTCTCCATTTCACCAGAAACAATCACGTGAAACGATGAAGGACCTTATGCGCAAAATGCTGATCCATGGCGTATGCTTGCAAGAAGTACATCTTTGTTGAACTGTGAACTGCTCGGTCTATCATGGATCGGCATGTTCTCCAGATCTGCAAACGAAAAATACTCCTTCCCTCTCCAATCATAAAATTTATGACCCAAACTGCATGGCTAATGCTGCGTTATTTTTTGTCTTGCCCTTTTCTGTACTTTCAGTTTTTATTCTGTTTCACTCGATCAGTTGTACCTCAGTTTATTTTGTTTTCATTTCTTATTTCACATGTTGTTTTACACGTAATGAAATGAATAAATAAATTCAACTGAAACTTGTATTGACTAGCTAATTTTTGAGCGCACGCCCACGCCTCAAGTTGGAAGAACAGAGGAAGGATACTCAATCCGTCTAGTTTCCGTCTAAGAGCACGTGCGAAACGGAAACTAGACTACCTTGCTGCATAGACCCCATAATAAAATACACATTCATTGAATTTATCAATTAGAATTATCACACGGAAAAGAACATCTTTCCTATTAAATTTCGGCACTATTTACCCTTTACTGCCCCACTCCTCAAGAACTGAGCCGGATTTTGATCGAAATTCGTCCATGACTGTGGATTTTGCTAGAAACTTCAAGGGTAATT